CTTTATTAGTTAGTCTTTGAAATGTGGTTGTCACATTTTTCATACCAAATATCATGATTTAAAACTGTACAGTCTATTCGGTGTCACGAAAGCCAAAATTTTCTTTGGTCTTTCAGATGAAGGTACCTGCCAGCATCCTCTGAGTAAGTCCAACTTAGAAATAAAAGTTGCTTGTCCCACATTTCAATACAGTCTTCCATATATGGAATAGGATATGAGTCAGATTTGGTAACTGCATTGGCTTTGCAATAGTCCACACATAATCATTGTGTACCTTCTGGTTTTCGCACCATTAGTAAAGGTGAGCTCCATTCACTGCCACTCACTTCAATTGTATTGTCTTTGAGCATGCATTCAATCTCTTTTTGAACCTGTGCCAACTTTAGAGGCTTACGTCTATAAAGATGGTGCTTCATTGGAATAGCATTTCCTATATCTACATCATGCATCATCACATTAGTACTTGCCAGCTTATTCCCATATGTCTCTCCATGTGATTGTAATAACTCTTTCAGGTCATCTCAATTTTCTTCTGGATTGTAACTCAATAATTTATCCCAACTTTTGAGAACTTCCTCACTGTCCAATTTAATTTGAGGAATATCCAATTCAGAATCACATGAACTTGGTTCTTCACTCAGTGTTTTAACTAATAACACATTCTCCTTTTGCTTTCCTTCCCTATCAAAATACATTTTGAGTGTATTCACATGATACACAGTGCATTTTCCTTCTACCTGGCATTCTTATCAAATATTTCACCTCACTGAACTTCCTTTTAATTTGATAAGGCCCACTAAACCTTGCCTTCAAAGGTTCACCTACCATTGGGAGTAACACTAGCATTGATCTCCTCTAGAAAAGTTTTGAATTTTTTAAATCTTTTTCATCTACTTCCTGTTTCATCACATGCTGCGCTACTTTTAAATGCTGTCTAGCCAATTCACCTGCTTTATTGAGTCTTTCCCTAAAACTTGACAGATAGTCTAAATATGTGGTCTCTGAACTCTGACTCACCAAATATCACCTTAATTAATTAGTGTCCTCTCAACTCATGCCCAAAAACTAATTCAAATGAATTGAATTTAGTTGATTCATTAGGTGAATCTCTAAATGGAATTCCTTTATCCCAGTCCTCCTGATAGTCTTGGCTATAAGCCCTCACCATGGTCTTTAAAGTTTGATGCCACTATTCAATGCTCCCTGCGATTCTGGATGGTATGAAGTGGATTTGAATTGTTTTATTCCTAAGCTATCCATAATTCCTTCAATAATTTTGATGTGAAATTTGAACCTTGATCAAATTGTATTTCTGTGTGTAGTCCATATCTATTAAGAAATTTGAGTAACTTTCTACAATCCTCTTAGCTATGATACTGCATAATGGAATGACCTCTAGAAATCTGGTAGACATATCCATTACGGTCAACAAATACTGATTCATATTTGTTTTTTAGGTAGGGATCCTATGCAAATAGTTAAGACGCTCATAAAAGGTTCCTCAAATCTGGGAATTCATATTAAGATTGCTGGTTTATCACTGCCTGAGGTTTTCCAATAACCTGACACATATGACATGGCCAACAAAATTCAACCACATCTCTCTGCAGTCCAAGCCAAAAAAAAATGTTTTTGTGTTTTAGCTTGAGTTTTCCTTACTCCTAAATGACATCATTTTGGCAATTCATGTGCTACCCACAACACCTCCTTTCTATAACCCACTGATAATACAACTTAATGAACTTCTGCATTTTCATCCACATGAAGAGGTGATGGTCCCCATTTCCTCATCCAGACTTCATTATTAAGATAGTAACATTCTGGGATACGGTCCCCATTTCCTCATCCAGACTTCATTATTAAGATAGTAACATTCTGGGATACACTCAGATTTTTCTTCTGTGTGTGCTTTTTGAGACATCTGCTTTAGTGTTTCATCCTTCTGTTGTAATTCAGCTGATTTCTCTGAACTAAAAATATCCATTTTGTCCTCCACCTGTTCTTATTTTTTTACTCAACCACTTGCTCAAATGTAGTTTCTAATCATTGAACTTAAACATCCTTATCTTTATTCCTTGATTTCTCCTCCTGGTTCAGCCTGTGGCTTTGTAACCTGTTACCGCTCAGTCAAGAAAAATCCCAGGATATACCTTGTAGTACTTCATTTGTCTGATTTTCTGTTGGCTTTTTAATCAGAGTGCGCATCACTCCCACCTGTGATCCAGCTATGTCAGTGCCAAGGATAAACTGTAGGTCTGAAACCAAGAATTACTCCAATCACCACTTTTTGCTGCACTCCCCAGCATCAATGTATAAAATGGAATACTGCTCTTCTCACCTTGGATTCCACATATTACTATGTTTTCTGGCAATACTTCTTCTGAATTATATATCTCCTCATCATTCACCATCAATGATTGACTTGTTCCCGTATGAATAAAAATTTTAATTTCTTTACTTGCTCCCCCTGGCATACACTCGTAAATCTTACCCACACAAGTAAATTCTTTAAAGAGATCTGGCACTTTCTTCTCAAACAAACCCTGATTGTGTTGTACATTCTTTCATAAATTAAAAAAAAAATTCCCCGTGCCTCATAAGCTGTTTACTTTATTAGCTTGGAACAGGTTGCTCGACACTTCTGTTTCAACCTCTCTTTATAAAAAACCAGGATAAGATATATCTCTTAAAGACATAGTTTTTTCACAAATGAACGTCACTTCCTATCACTTTCATAGGCTAGTCTATCTGGGAGAAGGGAGCAATATTCACCAGTCCATGGTGGTTATGGCTATGAGGAGCATTTGGAGGAGAGGACCACATAGTGTTCACTTTTTTGTCCAGCCTAGTTCCGTACCTTTGCCTTTGATAGGTAAGGCCTTCAATGAATTGTTATACTGATATTTGGAACACTTTTGACTCATTTACATTCCTTGCCACTTCTTCTGGTTCTGCAGCAGTGTCCCTACTACAGTGTCATCAATATTCCCCTCTCCATTCTGGCAGCCTTGCCTTAGCAGTGGGAATACTGCCAGGAATCCCATTTCACAGCACTTGGCCCATAGCCTTCTCTGCCTTAGTGTTGCAAGTGTACCTCTTCATACTCCTTCAATGCTATGAGGGTTTCTGCCTCTACCACCCTTTCAAGAATGGAGTTCCAGATTCCCACCACGCTCTGGATGAAAAATCTTTTCCTCACACCCCCTCTGAACCTCCTGCCCCTTACTTTAAAATCTATGCCCCATTTATTGATCCTTCCACCATGAGAAAAGCTTCCTTCCCATCTATCCAGTCTATACCCCTTATCATTTTATACATGTCCTCCCTCAGTCTCCTCTTCTCTAAAGAAAACAAGTCCAGCCTGTCCAATCTCTATTCATAACTAAAACTCTCCAGCCCAGGCAACATCTGGTAAATCTCTTCTGCACCCTCTTCAGTGCAATCACATCTCTATTATAATGTGGAATCCAGACCTACACAAAATACTTAAGCCTTAACCAACATTTTATAGAGTTTCGGTATCCCTGATCCTAAACTCTACGCCTCAGCTAATAAAGGCAAGTATGCCATCTGCCTTCATAATCACTTTATCTCGCTATCCTGATGCGTTGTGGGACCAGTGGACATGCACACACGGGTCCCTCTGATTCACTGTGCTGTCCAGGGTCCTACTATTTATCATGTATTCCCTTTATTTGTTTGTCCAGACAAACATATTCTATAAATATGTCCTTTCCTGTGACCCCCTAAACAGAGGGAATTGTCTTTATTTATTCACCCTATCAATACCTTTCCGTAATTAATAAAATCATTCTTTAATCATCTCAGCCTATTTTGCCTCTGCGGAATAAGACCCAGTATCTCAAAACTCTTTATATCACCTTCCCCATTTCCGCTAAAATCTGATGAATCCATGGATTATCCTATGACTTCCCAGAGTAACTTTTTCCAACATTGCAGACGGACTCAAGTTGGGGCATAGCCATTAGTCATACGGTGTTACTTTAACATATCTCTCTTGTACTAAATGCTTCTATTTACATAAACCCTGTCATCTCGATTGAATCTCACGTTTATTGGTTCAATAGCTATAATATTTAAAGTAAGGGCTGTTATAAGTGCTCTAAGATTAACTGATTAACCATATTTAATAAAGGGTCTATACGTTTGTCACATCGGGAGGGGCAGGACAAAATGTATTATTCTAGTGAAATAAACAATGTACTAGAGAAGCTCGGCAGGTCTATCACCATGTGTAGAGAGAAAACAACAGATCAACGTTTCGAGACTGTGACCTCGTCAGGCTGTATCTTGGGATACATTGCATTGCGCACAGCGCAGGACAGAATGACTTGGAGCTGCAATATGTAAAAATAGAGCACCCACAATTGGTTGCAAATATTAGAAGCTGCGTGGTGTGATGCGGTCACATCTAGGTAAAATGACTAGCCGGAAAGGTAGATAGCAGCAGTCAGTGAGTGGCACTTCTGCTACTTTGTAAATGGATAAGAGGTCATTGACCGGGAAGACTGTTTCTCTGCTTAGGTAAGGTCATTTTAACCGCGTCACGGGTTGTTGTTGGTTATATTGTGCCGACCTATCAGATGTGTCAAAGTATTAAAAACTAACCCTAATAAAATAACAATTCAGATGTATATATGCAAATAAAAAAAAGGACTGCAGCTGCTGAAGATCTGAAACAAGCAACAGAATGCTTGAAAAAGTTGGCACGTCTGGCAGCATCAGCAGAGAGAGAGACATAGTCAACATTTCCAATCCAGTGACTGAAGAAGAGATCTGAAGAATGGTCACTGGATTCGAAACGTTAACTCTGCTTTCTCTTCAGGGATGCTGCCAGACCTTCCGAGCTTCTCCAGCAATTTCAGAAAACGGGTATGTTGTGTTAAACAGCTTTTGCGCCAACATTTTTTCTACTGGATGTCCCACCTTCTCTTCATCATCTTCCTCCCCTCTGGGTCAGAAACATTGACCACGGTATCGAGTGAGTACAAACTGATCGCTTTTATTTGAATTCCAAGATATACAATATTTTCCAAAACAAAACACATATTTATATTGACGTAGGCATTCCGCGCTGCCTCTTAAAATACACAGTTTATTCCTCTTTCAGCGAAAGCGGCGCACATTTGGAAAACAGACTGAATGGATAAGGCACTTTTTCCACTCCACAATACACAAGGTCATCGAAAACATTCCTAAATCTGGCACATTGTTAAAGCCGGACATTGTTATGACATGTTTGCCTAGTTGAAATAATAAAATGGAACACACCTAAATATCGCATATATTCGCACTTAGCCACACTCCAAGGGTTTTCGTTCGTTTCTTTTCTTAAAAAAGCTCTACAATAAATATAATCTAGAGTCAGTGAGCATCAGAATATACCTACAGTTCACATAGCTCGAGATTGGGATAGAGTTTCCCCGGGGTCCGCAGCCCGATCGGATGAAATTTTAGTGTGGCTATTAGTTGTGGTCTTGGCGCGCTTTGCGTGTCTTCGCTTGCATCTCCGAGACGGCGGGCGAGCGCCTGCAATCACAGTGAGTGCCACAAAGCCAGTCCCAGTGAGAGAAGAAAGGCGCGAAGTGGCTCTGGGGTTTCTGGTGGTGAGTGTCGTGTTTGACCGTCCCGCCCCACAGGCCGAACGGGATGAGATTATGAAGGGCCCACGGGAAGTCATAGCCGCTGTGATCGTCGACGGAGATCCAGATGTTGAAGACCATGAAAGTGAAGCCGGTGAGGCAGTGGCACTGCAGGATAATTGGGTCGATGGTCGTCCAGAAGCCAACGCTGACCAACTCCCAGGCGGAGAGGTACTGAGTGGACCAGGAGAAGGGGGCATAGTATTCGTGGTGGATGGCATGGAAAGTGGTGTAGAGCCAGCGGATTTTGTGGTGCATCATGTGCCAGAAGTAGTACTGGAAGTCGAAGAGGATTGTACAGCCCAGGATGCCAATGAGAAACTCAGAGACCAGCGGTGCTTCCTCCTGTAGAGGGATCGGTGGCCGCCAATACCACTGACCCACGGCGGCTGGAAAGACATAGATCAGGTGGTTGTAGCCAGTGTGCCACAGGGTCTTGAAGATGTCTTCCCAGGTGACATGCTGTTCGGGGTGGATCTTGTACCTCCTGATGAGCGGGCACCTGGGAGCCAGCAGGTCGAGCATCATGTAGAAGGTGCACACAGCGAAATAGGTGGAGACCGAGATGATCACGGGGAAGAGGGGCGAGCGGAGAGCATCCTGGTGCTGGGTGCGCAGGTAGTCCCACAGGGGCTGCAGCAAGGACTTGCTCCAGATGTACTGAGTGAGATTGGCGTTTTGGATCACCTGCACGTAGGGGTCGAAGACTCGGCTCGAACCTACGGAATACATCGGGGGGGTGGGGGGCGGGGGAAGAGTGTGCTTCACTGAGCTGGAGCGGACAGAAAAAAAGAGGCAAGTTGCTTCGATTGTCCCCCGACCAGCTTGAGGCAAATTTGAAAGGTTTGCAAATGGATTTCAAGAAATGCAGATGCCTGAAGCGTTCACATGTAACCAGGATGCCTCCTCTTTGCTGCCCCCAACCCCTTCAGTCGTGTTGAAGCGCTCTGAGAGAGAATGTGAAAGTGCTATCTGAGCGTCCTCCTGCCTACACCGTGCCGAATGGAAGGTCGCGTTGATCCGGCTCCTTTTTGAAGACACCCAATAGCTCCGATTGGTCCCGGAAGCGCGATCGAAAATTCAAAGGTCAGATGAGGGGCGAAGGAGGCGAGAAACACACACACACACAGAAATAAAGTGAACTGTTCAAATGAAAATCTGACTTAACCTTGGCAACTCGACGTTAATGTGAAATTACTAGCCCCTCCCACATGGAATTCGTCTCCAGTGAAAGAACAGGCAGAACCCGGTGCTAACCAACAGCCGGTCAGCGAAGCAGTGCTGGAGACTCTGTGGACATCTTCATCTTTCAGACTTGTCCAATCTTTCAACAACACTGTACCCCTCAACGGAAAGGTAGCGCTCCAATTCTGCTCAGCTTCACAGAATTTGACGAGTTTCAGTAAAATTCAAAAGAGAAACCTTCTGTTTTCATTAGCTGCTCTCAAAGCGCCTCCTTCTGCCTCTACCGACGGTGAACTCAGATCTAAGTTTGCGCGTCGTTCGTCGTAACGGCTACTGAGCTGAGCTGAAAACAAATGAAGGGATTGTGAAAAGTTGTTTTTCCCCCGAAACAAAAATATAAGCGGAAAGACTAGAACAGGAAATCATCGCGAAGCCAAGCACTGCACATTGAACCAACTTATCTCAGAATTAAAGGCCGCTTTCAAATCCCCAATTCTTTTTGGTTGTTACTTATTTCTGCTCATCTCCTGTGTTCATTATTCCGCGTAAACTGCACTCAAGGCAAAACAGACCGAGGTTTATTTCTGAAGTGACTGCTTTTTAAATATTGCAAAAGAGCAGTTACAGAATGGGAGACCTCTCAGCAAAGTTAGCAATGGCTCATAGTTGATTAATTTACGCTCAGAATCCAGATTGAAATTTTTTTTCAGCACTTCTTTCCCCAGCTGCTATCAGTTCTGATGAAGTGACACCGGACTTGTGAATGTTAACGAAACCATTAACTCCGCTTCCTCCCCATAGATGCTGCCCAGATCTGCTGAGTTTCGCCAGCAATTTGTTTTTGTTTGCAATTTCCAGCATTCGCGGCCCTTTGTTTCATGTAAGGTTTAGGAAACTGAAATCAGACAAGTACCTCGAGGAAGCAGGAAAGAATGTAAGTAAGTTTTGGAAGGGATGCTCTTGGGAAGGTTAGTGCAGACTCCATGGGGCAAATGGCCATTTTCTGCATTTCAGGGATTCTGTGACTTCTACATGGATCAGTAGGAAAGCTGGGCAGAGAAATAGCAGATGGAGTTTAATCCAGACAAGTGTGAAGCATGCGTTTTAGGAGATCAAATGTAAGAGGGAAGTGTACAGTAAATAACAGGACCCTTAGGAGGATTGATGTACAGAGAGATATTACAGGTGTAAGTCCATAGCTCCCTGAAAGTGACAAGTGGATAAGTGTTAAAGAAGGTAAACGGCATGATTGTCTTCATCGGTCAGGGCATAGAGTATAAAAACTGGCAAGTCATGTTACAGCTGTGTAGAACTTTAGTTAGACCACATTTGGAATATTGCACACAGTTTCGGTCACCAAATTACCAGAAGGATGTAGAGGCTTTGAAGAGGGTGAAAAAGAGGTTTGCCAGCAGGTTTGAAACAAAAACAGAAATTGCTGGAGAAACTCAACAGGTCTGGCAGCATCTGTGGGAAGAAAGCAGAGTTAATATTTCAAGTCCAGTAACTCTTCATTCAAACTCAGGAGGTTTACAAAGAAGTTGCCTGGATTGGAGTGTATTAGCTATAAGGAGAGGTTGGACAAACTTGGATTGTTTTCTATAGAGCGTCAGAAACTGAGGTGACCTGATAGAAGCATATAAAATTATGAGAGGCATTGATTGGATGACTATTTGGGGCCTTTATCCCCAGGGTGGAAATGTAAAAGACTAGGGGCATAGGTTTAAGGTGAGAGAGGAAAATTGAAAGGAGATGTGCAATGCAAACCTTTTACATAGAGGATGGTAGGTGCCTGGAATGCACTGCCAGGGGAAGTGGTAGCAGCAGATACAGTAGCAAAGTTTGAGATGCACTTAGACAGACACATGAACAGGCAGAGAATAGAGAGATACGAACCATGTGCAGACATTTAGGATTAATTTAGAATAGCATCATGGCCAACACAAACATGGTGGACCAAAGGGCATGTTCCTATGCTGTGCTGTACTGTTCTATGTTATTTATGTCATCTAAAATATGAAACTCCCATCACACTGCTAAACCAAAACTGTCATCTGCTGGTCATTGCAGTATTGGCCATCTGCTAGTCAATTTGATATGTGCCATCTGCTGGTCAGTGCAGTATTGGCCATCTGTAGGTCAGTGTGGTATGTGCCATCTGCTGGTCAGTGTTGGCCATCTGCTGGTCTCTGTGGTATGTGCCAACTGCTGGCCAGTGTGGTCTGGGCAATATGCTAGTCACTGTGATTTGGGGAATCTGTAGGTCAGACTGTAATCTGATTCATAAATTTAAGCACAGATACCATCATTCTTGCATTTATTTTGTTGAGGAAAGCTGTGCTACATGGCATCTGCCATCAAAAGGTTTACACAGCTGAAGTTCCAGTTGGAGCAGCTGTTCTGTGAAATAACCTGCTTTTGACTAAATTGCTGCAGGTACAGATGAATGGTTAAAAATGAGATTGAAAGGGGGGAACACGTGAACAGAAATGATCAAGTTCAATCAAACAAAGTAAATAAAGTCAACTTGCCATAGACCTACTGGATTGTAGAGCCGCCCTCTGATTAGAGGTTGTTTATCCTGAGGGTCACCACACCTATAGCAAGAGGAGAGTTTGCGAAGGGAAGTCCTTCATGGTAACCTCAGCTGGTGTGGGAGTTGAACCCACCTTGTTGGCCTCATTCTGCTTCACAAACCAACCATCCAACCAACTGAGATAACCAAAACCATAAATTAAACCATCCAACCAGAGAACCCTAAAAGGCTCTTAAAAATGTAGAGCCCAGAATTAGAAAACAACAATGGTTTTAACATGAAGGGGCATAATGTTATAGAAAATGCTGCCAGCCAAAAAAGTAGAATCTGTTAGGATGTGAAACTGCCAATAGTGCTGCCAATTTTTCATAGTCTATGCCATCGATATAATCATTTATGTCAGAATGTTGTAAGTAGGAATGGAACTTCCTATATTGAGCCTTTCTTTATTTTTATTGGATCATGAATGGGGAGGGGGGAAAGATGTAATAATAGTTGTGAGCCTAGTACAGCAAAGATTGGGCTGGGCACCCACAAAACATGCAGGCAATTCAAATACTGGTCAGGCTATAGAAACAGAGGTGAGCAAAGAGACCAGGAGGGAAGATACCATAAGGTCCAGCAGTGTTAAAATATTGGGGTATTACAATTCTTTTATTTTCATAAACTATTACTTTAGTGCTTGGATTGATTCTTGCATTTGAGCAAATAAAGATCACTTTGGTGTGTGGATCAAACAATTGGTTCAGTGAACCAAATTTGCAATATAGGCACTATGAAAGGATTTACCAAACTTCTCTACATCTTACTGAACTAATCCATCTTCTAATTTTTCCTCTAGAATTTCTAGCTTCATCAGCCCAAAGTACAGATCAGCCATGATCTGATCAAATGTTGGAAAGGATTTGAAGGATGAGAGGACTACAGTACTCCTGTTTCTATGACTAAAGCTTTAACAAAGACCACCTGACCTCTGCACTTCCTTTCTTCTGCAAAAAACTTTTATCTGCTCCTAGTTTTATTTTATATCTTGCTCAAAGCAGATGAGATCAAAGAACATTCCAACTCATTGGTTTGAGATGGTTTTCTGATTCTCTTGGCAAGCCAGTCAATTGCTAATTTCTTGTCACTTAAGAGGAAAAATATTGAACAGTGCTTCACCAAATAGCTGTTCTGATGGTGGATGGTGCCAGAATTTATATATATTAAATGGTGCAAGCATGATGAGCTGAATGGACTCCTTCTACACTCTGGAATCACTACAATTCTGTGATTGTAATCATGCACTGACTGATTGAGTAGGCTTTGTGCACTGATCCTTGACAGTCTCAAATGTCTTATGTTCTTGCGATGACTGAAGCATGAGGTGAAGCAATTAGATAAAAGTAGGTTGAAGCATAACAAGGACATACGTATACCTGTTCAGTACAAAGATGTGTAAATATGAATTAGAACTTGTGCTGCATGATAAGTAGACAGAACACATTACTCAAGGTCTGCATAGGTATCTTACTAAACTTATTAAATTAAATGTTAGACAATAAATGCTAGATTTTCTTTTACATATTGCTATTTTTAGAAAAGGTGTCAGATAGTATTCTGGTTCATGAATTCAAGCACAGATATCATAATTATTTCATTAATTTGTTGTTGCAAAAAGTTGCAATAGGCTGTCTTTAATTTCATTTTAACCACAATGTCATTGTTATTCTATTCCCTATTTTGTACTCAATGGAAAAGTACCATATCAAGTCTTTCTAGAATCATAGCATTTCATAGTAGAGAAGGAGACCATTCTACTGGTTCCAGCTCTTGCCAGAGTAATCCAAAACTAATGTTATTGCTTCACATTCTCCATATAGACCTGTGGGTTCCCAAAGATCACAGCTCAACTTTTCTTCCACAGTCCCACCAGAAGTTGGGCAGAACCATGGACAAGAATGAGGGGACATTTGGGCACTGGGCTCTATTAGAGCTAACCCTCACTCCTTACTGCTCCCCAGGGTCACCC